AGCTTATATCTCAAAATGTCTAAACCAATTAGCCTAAATTGTTTACCAAAATATATTTTAACAATTGAATAAATATTTTTTATATACATACTCATATCTTATTCAATATACATGTTTTAATAAAATGGCTTGTGGATTGTTAGGTTTGAAAGTTACACTGATTCAGTACTTTTTAAAACTTTTCGATTATTTTGCGAAAATTCTCTTAGTTAGTTAGTTGTGGTGGAGGCAGGAACAAGTCCTCCTCAATTAGCAAAAAAAGTCCAATATATTTTTGGTTAGTTTCCGAAATTATATTTTAAAATTCTTCAAATATTGATATTAACAAATAAAAGTATTTAAGTCGACGCAGCTCAATACTTCTCTAATCTAGGTCATAGATTACAACTGCAAAGCAGATGTGCTAACCAAAAAGAGTGCTTCAGGACCTCACTCAGAACACCTAAATAATCTGGTCATTTTTCATTAAAAATAAATCCAATAATCTCATTGAGATGCCCCGCATAGATATCAGTCTTTCAATAGGTTTACTTACAGGTCATTGTAGTTTAGGAAATCTTGAAGACTATGAATATGCTTATGCACGAAGGTGACGAAACACTTTGGGAGTCCCCTTCCTTGAGAGTCGTGATCAGTTACAACACCTCCCACTAAAAAGCATTCTAAGATTCGCCACAGGTTCTAGGTGGTTTTAAACTCTAAGTTTCTACAATACACGATAATAAAATGGGCCAATTAGCTTAAGTAGATCCCTTAGGAATTTGCGGTATAACTTAACCTAACATACTTGATATCTAAATAAAAACAAATTATTTTGATTGTTATTGGTACGCACCGTATCTATAATAAATAAAAATTATTTCTAGTAAAGAATGCAACTAATCTCCTATTATAATTAAATTTGTGAATACATATATATACCGAAGTAAACCAAAAATGTCTTGATAGTTATTATGAAATAAATGAATTTAGTCATGTCAGATGGATATGCTTGTCTCCACATATAGGTAGTTCCATATTATTATTCTTAGAAATCACAATGACTAATTGTGAACAATGAAATCATTTGTATTATCTGTAGAGAAATTCTACTAAGTTACCAACATAATTTTATCTTATTGACAAATCTAGTAATATACATTGGTTCAAGTAATCAGACAACATTAAATTTAATGAAACAACACGAGCAGATAAAATGCTATTTACTAAATGTTAAAGCATTTGCACATATTAATGAAAGGTTATAGTTAATAAACAGAAAATGGAAGAAAATAGATATATTCATCTATTATTTATAATATAAAAATATATATTTTTATTCCGTTCTGTATAACATATATGTATTCTGTTCTGTGTTTGAACTTAAAATTTTAAATATAGCCATAAAAAAAAATATTTTCTTGTAACAAAAAAATACGAAGTTTCGCAATTTCAAAAATGCTAAAGCTTCATTTTTTGTATTTTAAAATGATGTTTAAC